ATTGTCCCATCTGAAACTTATAGCTAGAGTCGAGGTTCCGTGCAATACGTGGACGTTCAACCCGGTGAACCACACGTCTAGAACCTCGAGGGTACGATCGTTTCGAGGGACCTATGACACGATCGCGACCGCGAAAGAACGACTCTAAGAGTCGAGACCCGAAAAATCGAAAACAAATACAGAAACAAACGGACAGAAGCTCCGTTTGCATCGTCATTGCAACGATTCCTCGAATCCACCTACAGTAACAGATCCGTCAACCGTTGCGCGACCTACTCAAACTAAAGTGACGAGATCTGCCCTGGACCCTACCTACTTAGATTTAACATACACACCAGAAGGTAAGTTACCTACCTACCTAGCCCTATATTTAAAAAGAGCAAAACAATCACACAAACACACATGCTCCACGATTCTCAATCAAGGCTCTCGGGCGCGACCTAAACTAGGGAGATGTCCCGGGACATCTCCGACACCCGAGTTTGCCATACACGCATTCACACTCTAAAGGTACGTACCAGTTCCTGAAATCATTTGACAAAAGCTAACGACCATTGCGTTTTGGTATCGTGTGAATATTGCAATCGTAATCAAATTATTTATAATCTGTGAAAAAGTATGAAACTGAAAAGCTACTACTCTATATATTCTTGTATATTTTTATATGTTAATAATGCAAATAATTCTCACGCAATTGCATTGCTTGGTCATTTTTCTATTGAGATTGCTATGTAAGAGGAATTAATAGAATTGTAATGAATTTCATTGTAATGAATAATAATTTAAATCTAAAATTATGATGTGATTTGTATATTGCAAGGAATAATTGAAACGACGCAATTCCACAACCTAACCACACACATACACACACACATGTGGAAAGTACGTCGTGCACGATACGTTAGCAGTGTCAAACGCCCACATTGATCATTATTATAAATATTATAAACTAAGTCATCGTGCCCATTGCCTTCACTCACCCAAGTAGTACCTGGGCACGTGAGTGAGTTTGGGCAACGAACACGGAAGGATTAAGCCTGAAAATCCTAAATAGAAAGAATGATTAGTAAGATCTAAGCGACCTAGCATTCTTTTGTTCTTTGCTGTTTCATTTGCAGTAAAAGTGACTCGACTTTTAATTTATAAAAATTCAAAACGTGAAACTTGAGTATGCATTGATATCGAAAAATTCAATTAAAAAAGAGAAATATGACTTTATTCAAGATTAAATGATTTATCAAAATAGAGAATAAATTGGACTTTGCAATGATATAATTTAATTTGAAAATTTAATATGAATATTGATTTACTATCAGGCGATTCCCTTGTCAAAGTATACTTTTTAAAGATCGTACAAAGGGTACAAATCATGTAACTTTGACACAGGAGCCAACCTATCGCGAAGCATCCTTCTTGTACATACATGTAAAACTTCAAGAACGAAAATTATATTTGAACTTGTTGCTTGAAAAATATAGAAACAAATCTTTCAATTGTATATACTGAACTGTACAGTATACATATATTAATATATATGTAATCATATTACGTGGTCAATAAACAAATTTTAAGATTGAATTCATACGCGGTGTACAAGAAGACCCTATCCTAAACTAAGAAATAAAACAAGAAATGTTACTACTCGCGAGTATGCTATGCAATGCACACCCGCGGTCACTATACTCGACAAAGACCACGTATACAACTAGTCACCCGTGTCGATTCGGACCTTTCGTCCTACGACATGATTGGGGACCAGAGGAACAAAATACCATGCGACTCACCGATCGTTGGCTTGAAATCTGCATGTACCTCGTTAACAGACATCGTAGCAGCTCTGCTAGGCTCAGCTAGACTCACGAACGATGGGACGAGGTGCACAGAATCTGTAAAAGAACACAAAACATAACGATCAATTTCTCCACTTGCAATTTTAAAGGTATCAATCTATGATAAAATAAAGAATTCGTAGATACTTACATTTTCCATTTATTCAGCATCGTCCGATACTCCTCTTCAGTGATGCACTGACTCTAATACCGGTATCGATCAATTTCCGTTGAATAAAAAAAACAAGCGACCGAAAATAATTCTAGACGGCAAACAACCGAGACTCCACCTCGCGATTAAATAACTGAAAGAGCCGCGATGCTCTAGACAGAATTTACAATCCGCAAGAAACACTGATTTTATTTCCCGTATGCCTAAAATCCAAACGAAAATCTACTCGATGCAACTCTGTATCGAAACAAATACGACTTCTACGTGTTAAACACTGACTCTACCGACCGCCTTGCGCGCGGTCAGCAATGCCTGAAAGAAAGAGTGGGATAGAAGACAAACAAAGTCGAAGCAAGCACACCTTGTGCTATGCTAGTATTGTATTTTTTTCTCGTTCTCGAGTGGTGGTCGCAGAATACACTGCTTTTCCTAGAATCACGATAACCGTTGGCCCTTTGTTATTGAAACACGATCCCACTAACTTTCGAGAGATAAACATTCCGTCAAATGTGAATCTCAATTTTAATGACGAAATATTACGCACGAGTATAATGGAAAATGTTACATCAAGAATTTGCGTTACGAAATATTATAGACAAATATCATTAGATATGTTATATCAAAAAATTTCGTTACTGGGCTTGTAATAGTGTTCATGATTTTATCGTATTCTAAGATATATTACGACTTTCATAAATATTACAAGACTCGTTGCAAGATCAAAATTTATTAGTTATTCAGACTTCCATATTAATATACAATCGCGTAGATTCTACATGAATTAAAAAAACTTGCTACCAAAAATTGAACGGAAACGCGATTGCGTCAGCTTCGTAAAGATAGATTTGTCGAAAAATTAAGTGTATCGTACGAAATCAGAAAATATACAACCGCGATCGAGTTACAGTGACATGACACCATTTTGTATTGTCACGAAATTTTAAGCTAAAGAAAAAATATGTATTAATCTGTTCAATTTCATCTCAGCACTGATCCGTTCTAAAATCATGTAACACGCTTACGATCGATAACAATGCACACAAAAAACAGTAAAAATATGAATAAATATGTTACCATTTCGTTTGAAAAAGTTTTAAACTTTACCACTTTCGACGAAATTCCGTTTGAATCGGCGACAAGCATCATGGCGTCGGTGCAACGGAATTGGCGTTCAAGTTTCATCAGCGACCTGTAACAGGATAAAATAACTAACTTCAGACACGATTGTCCACTCAAAATACAGATATATTATAATAAAACACCGATCAAGTTCGAACTCGCAAAAGATCGTAATTTAACTGAGAGAATCGAAATATTAATTGACGCCAAGTGGAGAAAAAACCGCGAAACCGATATTGAAATTCTTTTACTATATCGATTGAATTTATTGTTAAAAGGCTATCGAAATTATATTAAAGCACTATTAAAAAGTAAATGAGATTAATATTAACGATTGGTAGCGATTAGATGGCAACAGATATGAAATAGATACCTAATTAGTAACACGGTACGAAACACGTCTTGTCGCGCCAGCTTCCACGGACAAATGGCGAACGCTTTGCTGCGCAGAAGCGTTGCGCGGCATTGCGATGAATGGTGAACTCAATTTTAGACATTTTTCGAATAATCTATTTAATTTATTATATTAGCTTACTATATGTTTGGAACATAATATTCATTATATTAAAAGCATAACAATGTTAAAAATGAAGTATGAAAACGTTTTTTTGTTATTTTTAATAATCAGGCTTTGAATAAGCTAGGCGACACGACGCTAGCTAGGAAACAGACTATGTATCGTATAGAATGCTAGAAAATTCTTAATCGCGATCGAACTACAGTGACATGACGCCATTATGAATTGTCACGAAATTTGAAGTTACGAAAAGATTGTATTAATTTTGTTCAATTTTATGTTAGTACTGATCCGTTATAAAATCGCGTATTACACTTACGACCGATACCTACTCGTATAAGAGACGATAAAAATATGAGTAAATGTGTTACAAACTTTACCACTTTCGATGAAATTTTGTTTGAATTAGAGACAAGCATCATGGCGTCGGTGGTACGAAATTGCCGGTAAAGATTCATCAATGTTCTGTAACAGAATAAAATGACTAACTTAAGACATGATTGTTCATTCAAAATACAGATATATTATAATAAAAGAACGATCAAGTTTGAACAACCCGCAAAAGATCGTAATTTAACTGAGAGAATCGAAATATTAATTGACGCCAATTGGAGAAAAGACCGCGAAACGATCGCGGTCTTTTACTATATCGATTGAATTTACAGTTAAATGTGTATTGAAATGATATAAAAGGACCACTAGAGAATAAACGAGAGTACTATTAGTAATTCGCTAAATTAGTAATTAGTAAATCACTACTAATTAAGTGGTGATTATATTGCAACAGGTAGAAGATAGATACCTAATTAGTCAGACAGTACGAAACACGTCTTATCGCGCCGGCTTCCACGAAACAAATGACAACTCGTCTACGCCGCGGAGAGGCTTGCGTTTCTTACGCCGCTAGGCGGCGAATGGGGACAACCCCCATTTCTCGTCGAAATTCAAATTTCAAAAATGTTTTATTTCGAATAATATAATATTTTTGATATGTGGTAGAAAATGTCTCAATAGAACAGTATAGCACTAAAATTGTTATACTGTTACCCAGAGGAAAAATAATTACGATAAAATGTTCAAATAAATAAATACATATGTGCGTTTCACGGGGTAAACTAAATCAAAGAGTATTCTTTGAACTAAATCATCGTGAACTATAGTTTTACATATTTTTACATAATCTACTTATTATATCAGCTTAATATATGCTAAGAACATAACTTATTCATTATACTAGAACCATAATAAGGTTAAAATTAGCCTGGAAAAACGTTTTTTTGTTATTTTTTAATAATCAGGTTGGAACTATTTCTCGACAAACTTGGAGCATCTGTAGAGAGATGACGCCATCAGCTTATTCTAAGTCTGTGTTATATGGAGTTAATATGGCATCACCATGGTTGAGTATTCTTCGCGATAGTGTTGATTCTGATATAGTTGTCGCGATGGGTGCGGCAAAAGAAGTAAACAATACGTCTGATGATGATTTGGATAATAATATTAAAAAATTTGAAAATGCACATAATAATAGAGTGTGTGCAAGTAAAGAAAATACAGAAATATTGATACAAAATTTTGTAAAAATGTCTCCCATTAAAAAAAATGATTGCATTGAAAATTTGCGAGCTAATAGCAATTGTCGAAATGAGAATAGTGAGCATGTAGTATCTAATTTAGTAAATAATGTGGAAAATACAAATGTAATAGAAACTTGTAGTACTAATAAATTAATAAATGATAGTCAAAGTTCAGCAATTAGTATTTGTAAATTAAAAGATTCACCTTTTACCTCCCCAGAACAAACAGAATTACATGAATTTGTAAATGTAAAAAACATTAAAGTAGAAAATATATGTAGTTCTGAAATGTTTAATTTTAATAATGTAAATACAAATTCAATTGAACCACATTCTAAGTGTCTTAAAATGTTAGAAGAAACATCTATGTTGCATAAAAGAAAAAATCATTACCCTAATGAAGATGATACTTCCATTAAACGAAGGAAAAGGAAAGCAAATGACAGTGGTAATTATGATCAGCTATCTAACATACACAAAAATTATGTAATACTAGTTTAAAGAACAGATTCTGTTGTAAACTTTCAAGAAGTTAAAATATCACCAGATTTTTTATTTTTAATAGGCAATGATATTGTACCAAAGGTACAAAATATGGAACTGTCCAATGAACCACAAGTAGACCCTCTTTATATTGCGAGCAGCAATGTGCAAAATACAACCATTGCAAATGTTGATAGTAAAGGAATAAATCCATTAACAATAGCTGAACATAATTCAAGAGACATAACATCAGAATCCAGTGATGAAGATGAAGCTGAATATGATGATGAGGATGAGGATGAGGACGATGATGATGATGATGATGATGATGATGATGATGATGATGATGAAGATGAAAATGATGATGAGACTTACATGACTTCAAAAGCTGTGCTTGGAGACTTAAATATTAAATTAAACATAGCAAACAAAGAAATGTTTGAAAATGCTATGAAGGTAAATTTCTAATTCAAAATATTTTCTAATTACATCATGCTTTTAATTTTAAATATCTATACATTGATTTTCTACTATTTTAGAGACTGTATGATCTAAAAGTACAAATAATACATAACATACCACCACAACATAGGATTGAACACACAGCAGGCTCAAGGCATTTAACAAAAGTGGAAAGACAATTATTTTTAAATCATGGACCAATAAAAAATAATGCATATACCCCTCATGAAGATGAAACTATTAAGAATAATTGGAAAACATTTTGTGAAGTATGTTTCATCAGTATCATTATGTAATATTGTTGATTAACAAAATTTGTTGTACATAGATTCATAATTGGGATCCTAAACATATAGAACCATTTCTTCGTATGAGAAATGGAAAACATTATTATATAAGAAGTATGACAGAAAGACAAAAATTTATTCAGTTTATAGCAAATGGATTACCAGGTAGGACACTGTACAGTGTGTATAGAAGATTCAGAAGTATGAATGGAAAATATGAAAAAACATTTAAAAGGTATACAGTTAAATGTTTATCTACTGTTTATATATAATTTCATAATTATAATGTAAGTTATAGTTATATAAATCTATTGCAATAATATATTTTCCCAGGTACACATTAGTAGAAGATGAACAAATTTTATTGTTCATGAAAAATAAACGTGAAAATCAAACAAATCAAAACTTTCGCGATCTAGCTAAAATGTTGGGACGTAAAAGTCGTTCTGTGTGGTTACGTTATCAACTTCTTAAAAAAATGCAGGAAAGCCATATAAGGAAACGTGAGTTCTTCGTAATTACATAATTATGATCCTGATGGTTTTTTGTCTTAAAAACGAATATTAAATTTTATCGTAGCATTATCGAAAATTAAGTGGACTTTACCTTTGATTGGTACATTTATAAAAACTATTATGGATGTAACATCATCTGAGAAAGTAGAAAATTTAAAAGATGCTGTACTCCCAAAATCAGTTTGGCTAACAATAGGAGAGAAACTGAGCATAGATCACAATATACTGAAATTACTTTGGATGCATCAATTGCATATGCAATTGTTTTGTCCAGAACCTATTTATCTAAACGATATAAAAATAAAATTAATTGAATGGTAAGTTACAAATATATAACATATGACAATACATGGTGTACATATTAAGATCTTGTTGCAGCATTTATAGAAAAGGAATCTCACATATTCGAGAAATAATATGGTCAGATATTGTGAAATATTTTGAGGGTGTTACCACTGTCTTTTTATGTAAAGTATTTTTTTATCTTGTCAAAGAAGCCACTGTGAAAGTAGGCACAAATGAATTTCCTTGTAAGTTTATGAATATATAAAAAAAATTATAAATATTAGAAGCTTTTGTCATGTAATAATGACATCAACTTTTTATTTTTCAGATATTGTGGACTACTTGTATACTGATAAAATACATGATATAAAAAATGAATTAACTGATAAGTTTCTTCCTAGACTATCTTATAATGATAGAAATGTCGAAATTATAGATAAAGATACAAGTGACAATTGATTCCAAATAAGATATAATCAAAAGTCAAGATAAGATATATTAGAAAGTTAAATAAAAATATTGTATATGTTATTTAATAACCTGTATAAATTTTCAGTATGATGTTACTGAGCAATAATAATACATGTTTTAACAACCCTAATAAGACATAATTTTTGTTGATATTTATATTCATTTTTAAAAATTGAAGTTTATTGAATTCTAGTTTTTTTTATATTTTTCTGTTCTCATTTTCGAATACCTTTTTCTTTACTCTTTAATATAACAAATATTTTATATTAATTTATTTACTTTTTCAAATGTTTACAATTCTTTTTAAATTTACAATCACAGATGTCTCCAACAATATTTCTCAGGCGTTGCGCCCTCTTAGAATGTTTATCATGTCAGTCGGTTCTGTAGTCTTGATACAACAATTTATTTATTCGATTTAGTTGTGTGTGTGACAACTACTTTGCGCTTGTAGCTTTTGGTGACTGGTGAAACTGGGCGAAACTGGCGATGGTGTATAATAAATAAAAAATGGCGGACTCAGCGGGCAATTGGTGTCTCATCGAAAGCGATCCTGGTGTTTTTACGGAATTAATCAAAGAATTTGGTAAACTTTGATCTATTTTATATAAATTTAGCGTATACTCTCTTTATCGGCACGAAAATGATTCGTATACGTTTATGTCAAAAGAGGACTGCTTTTGATGACAATTGCTTTGTGCACTTACAGTATGTAATGTTTTATTTATAAAAGGCATATATTTGTAAAGTGTGTTATCATTTATAGGTGTTAAAGGAGCTCAAGTAGAAGAATTATGGAGTTTGGATGATGATCAGTTCGATAATTTGAAGTGAGTATTAAATTTGTGTAACATAACCTTACTCGTAAGCTTGTTTACATCAAGTGTTCAATAATAATTTTTTAAGGCCTATACATGGTTTGATATTTTTATTCAAATGGGTTCAGGATGATGAACCATCTGGAAATGTTGTTCAAGATAATAGATTGGACAAAATATTTTTTGCAAAACAGGTACATACAATAATAACTATAGGTTCATGTAGTATACCATTTTCACAATTTTTCTGTTTAGGTGATTAATAATGCATGTGCAACACAAGCAATATTAAGCGTATTGTTAAATTGTAAGCATTCTGATATTTTGTTGGGGCCAAATTTGGAAGAATTTAAAAATTTTTGTCAAAGCTTTGATGCTAATATGAGAGGACTTGCTCTTAGTAATTCTGATGTAATAAGAGAAGTACATAATTCTTTTTCAAGGTACTTCCTATGCAGCAACTATATATACAATAATACTAAATGAAAATTACTCACATTGTACTAAAAATAAACATAACTTCTTACAGGCAAACGTTATTTGAATATGATTCAAAAAAGGCATCTAAAGATGATGATGTTTTTCACTTTGTAAGTTATGTACCAATTGATGGTCGTTTGTATGAGTTAGATGGATTGAAAGATGGACCAATGGATCTAGGTCCATGCCCACTTGGAGAACAGTGGGTTCAAGCAGCAAAGCCAATAATACAAAAAAGAATAAATAAGTAGGTATATTAAATGCTTGAATTTTTTTTTGCATTCATTTATATGTTCACTAAAAAATATTTTTAGATATAATGAAGGAGAAATTCATTTTAATTTAATGGCGATCGTGACTGATAGAAAAACATTATACGAACGACAAAAAGCGAATGTTTGTGATCCAGCCGAGCTTGAGCGTTTACAGACACTAATAGAAAAAGAGATTCGAAAATCTAAACGATATCAGATCGAAAATATTAGAAGAAAACACAATTATCTCCCATTGATAATGGAATTGCTTAAGATGCTTGCCAAAGAAGGTAAGCTTGTATCTCTGTATCAAAGGGCAAAGGAAAAGGCATTGGAAAAAGAATCCAAGAAGAACACAGTTTAAATTTAGATCCTATAATTGCATGAAAAGATCGTTGGATTGTATGTAAAATGTATAGGTATCAATGAAGTGTAATCTTTTTTTAAAAATAAATGTAAATATAAACAAAAATTCTTTTTTATCATAGACATCAAGAAATGTATTATTAATTTTAAGAAACGTCATATTGGAAAATAATGCAGTTTAATAAATGATGTAATGAGATATATAATGTTTTTATTTAATTTATGAATTAATATATCTTACTCCGTATCAACATTGTCGCTCATATCTTTATCTATAATTTTAACCTTCCCATCAGTATAAGATAGTCTAGGAAGAAATTTATCAGTTACATCATTCTTTATGTCACTTATTTTATCGAAATACAAGTGGTCCACAATATCTGAAAAATGAAAGGTTAGTATCACTATATTGCAACAAAAGCTTTTAATATTCATGACTTTTGATGTTCGTAAACTTACCAAGAAGGTCGTTTGTACCTATTTTCGTAATAGCTTTTTTGACAAGATGAAAAAATACTTTACATAAAAAGACAGTAGTAACGCCCTCGAAATATTTTGCAACATTCGGCCATAGTATTTCTCGAGTATTCGAGATTCCTTTTCCGTACATGCTGCAATAATAATCTTGTCATGTACAATGTATATTACAAACTTTATACTAAACGATAAAACAGTACAGAACTTACTATTCAATTAATTTTATTTTTATATCATTTAAATAAATAGGCTCAGGACAAAACAATTGCATATGCAATTGGTGCATCCAAAATACTTTCAGTACATTGTGATCTATGTTTAGTTTTTCCTGTATCTTTAACCAAACCGGTTTTGGAAGGACAGCATCCTTCAAATCTTCTACTGTTTCAGATAGAGTTACATCCATGATAGTTTCTATAAATGTACCAATCAAAGGTAATGTCCACTTTACTTCTGTTAATGCTACAATAAAATTCAATAATTTGTTTTTAAAAATGAATTGGTATAAGGATTACAATAACATATTTATGAAGAACTCACGTTTGTCTGTAATTCTTTTCTGCATTTTTTTAAGAAGTTGGTAACGTAACCAAACTGACTGACTTGTACGTCCCAAGGTTTTAGCTATATCACATAATTTGTGGTTTTGTTTTCTTCTATGTTTATTTTTCATGAATGTCAAAATTTGTTCATCTTCTTGTACTGTGTATCTACAAAAAATATGTGATTGTAACATATTTATATAGTCGATACTTTAATTATAATAAATTGATATTTGATTAGTACAGAAATATGCTATACCTTCTAAATGATTTTGCATATTTTTCATTCATGCTCCTAAATCTTCGATGTACACTGTGCAGTGTCCTCCATGGTAATCCATTTGCTAAGAATTGAACAAACTTTTGCCTCTCTATCATACTTTTTATAAAGTATTGTGAACCACCATGCCTCATATAAAGAAATGGTTTTACATATTCAGGGTTCCATTTATGAATCTGTGTATAAAACATTTTGTTAATTAAAGGATTAACCAGCAATATTGATCAGACATACTTTACAGAACGTTTTCCAATTATTCTTGATAGTTTCATCTTCCTTGGGTGAAAATACACCATTTTTTATTGGTCCATATTTTAAAAATAAGTGCCTTTCTTCTTTTGTTAATGGTCTTGAGCCTGCTGTATGTTCAATTTTATGTTGTGGTGGTATGTCATGTATTATTTGTACTTTCAAATCATATAATCTCTAAAATAATAAAGATCAATGAAATGATGCTGAAAATTGAAAATTTCAAATAATTAAAATATATTTTGAATAAAATTGTAGTTACCTTTGTAGCATTTTTTAAGCTTTCTTCATTTTCTGCGTCTGAATGAATGTCTAATTCTCCTAGGACATATTTTATAGTGTGATAGGCTTCATCATTTATACTTTCATCAGTGTTGATCGAATCTGATGTTTTATTTTTTCTCAAATTATATTTAGTATCGGTTAGGTTATTTATTTGTTTAATATCCATATCTTCATTGGTTGTACTTTGTACATCACTATTAGCAATAAAAAGAGGATCTATTTGTGGATCTTTGGACATTTCTATATTCTGTTCATTTTGCATAGTATCATTGGTTATTGAAGATAAAAACTCTGATGATATTTTAGTTTCTTCAAAGTCCATTACTGAATCCAAATCATGTAACATATCAATAGGTTCCATGTCATATACATTAGCATCATATAGTTCTGATTTAAGTATATCAGATAACTGATCATAATCACTATTGCTAATTTTCCTTTTTCTTCTTTTACTAGGAGTATTATTTTCATTTGGATAATAATTTTCAGATATGCTTTTAACTACCGAATTTGAATTTAAAGTACAAGGACTAAATAAGTCAGGACTTTCTGCTTTAATGGATTTTACATCAATTAACTCATTTAATTCTGTATTTTTTGGAGGAATAAATCTTAAATCCTCTAGTTTACGAATACTAATGAATGATCTCTGGCTACTGTTTGATAATCTATCATTATTATGAGTTTCTTTTATCTTTGCATTTTCTGTATTATCTGTTACATTAGTTACCACATTTTGGTTATTGTTAATAGTTTGAACATTTTCATTGGTAATGTCTTTTTTATTTGGCGACTTCAGTGTTTCTTTATTTACACATTCTTTGTTATTGTGAGTCTCTTGAGATGTTTGAACATTATTACTCAAATCATCATTAGATATACAGTTTATTTCTATTTTTCTCTTTTTTAGAGGTTGTGTACTTTTTGGCTTAGGACTCAAAATATCAGCAGTCATTTTCAAATACTATTACAGGAAAGAAAACTTTAATTAATGTATCAGAATGTTATTCTGAGTATTTGAGAAACATTTATTTCAAATTTATCCAATATTAAGTATTCCATACAAAATTATAAATTAATAACATAGAATAATTGTAGATTGTAAATAAAAATACTTCAAGTGCCAAAAAGTGTTTAGTAAGGAAATAATGTTAATTTATGTTTAACAGTCGACACCTTGCCTTTTTATTGGGTATTTTCATTTCATAACATGTTTTTAAATAACATAACGATTATGTTACGTGAATTAGATTCAATTTCTTAGGAACTCATTGTTATTAATGAATAAAAGAAATGACAAACGATTTTAATTCTCAGTATAAATTGATAAACAATGTAAACATGCTTTGAATATTTCGTCCTTGTGCAATAGTGAACTCAGGTAAGGTTATATTCCGAATGGTCTAATAAGAATAAGAGAAACACAAATTGCACGCGACTTTTCTTACACAATGATTCAACAAATTCAACAAATATTTAACAAAACTTGTTGTGAGCACTACTTATTAGTGACACCTTTGTTACGATAAAGATTATATTGAACAGAACAGCCGAATCTAACGTGCTAAGAAATACACCTTTTTTTTTAATATCAGTGGCGTCATTGATGGGAAAACGTCCAAGTTTGTAGTGAAGATAATTTCCACTGTTGGTACATTATTGTTACGTTGTATAACTATTCATAAAAATGATAAATTTGTCATATCAACACATGTTCTTATTATTTTATTATTTCATACATTTATTATTTTATTTAAATTGAAGTTACTGTTAGAGAAAATATGCTTACGTTACGTTTACTGCAAATAGTGATTATAGGTTCGCAGTCTAATGTTATAGACTTGGATACATATGTAAAGATAGATAAATGTTTAAATAATATAGTAGAATAGTATATTGTAATGTTCTAAAGCAAAGAATCGTAATTGTATTTATGAAAAATAAAGAATAATTTATTAAAGATATCAGTGGCGTTCTCTTATAGAAATGGTGGGAACTAATTTCACTACTAACTTGGACGTTTTGCCATTGATGACGCCACTAAAGGGTCGATAATTATTGCTAAATTGAATAACTAATCATAAAAGTGATAAATTTGACATATTAACTCTTATATTATACTATTATAATGCAAGGAATCGTAATAATTATGTATTTATGAAAAATAAAGATTAATTGACTAAAAGGTATCAGTGGCGTCATCTTATAGAAATGGTACGAACTATTTTCACTACAAACTTGGGCGTTATCCCGCCGATGGCGCCACTAGTATTAAAATCAGTATCCTTTGCGGACGTATGTCGGCAAATATCCGCCCAAGCGTTTTTCACTTCTAACGCTTTGTTATTACGTTTCTTTTGGAAGGAAATTAGAGATCTTTAGCGATAAAGTCTTAGTATTTATTACGAAAATGTCCAACGTGTATGATTCCTCAGTTTACATTTATTTTATGTCTAATTTAACAGAAAGAAATTGTCCATTCATATTCTTGGCAATTGGTAGCCTTTATTTTAATTTATTCTATTAATATTAGAGACATGTCGCTACTAATTCGTTTGTAGTAAATCTAAAATCCCTTTAACTCTTTATACATTGGTTTAACAATAAACTGACATAGATTAACGTACATCTATCATACATACAACTATATTACTACAATTACAGAGAGGGGAGTTAATTAATTTATCGATCAAATTAATCCTAGAGTACAATTTCTAAGTATTTTTAAGTAAAACCATTGTTAATAGCTGAGTGATCTCAAAATGAGTTCGAATTACATACATCCCTTGGTAGTGCAACTGAAACTTTTTTTTAAAATCACTCATCTATTAACAATGGTTCAACTTATGTAGAAATTTAATTTTATTATTTATTGTTTCTTCTGAATTTTCGATTGTCCACTTATCGATAACATTTACATAACGGAGGAGAGCGTTCAGCTGTTAAAAAGACCGTCGCATTCGTAAAAATTCTTTCAAACACATTCGAATTCACGTACTTGAGAGGATTCCGTTCAAAGTAAACGGTTTCCAGCATGGCGGCAGATGTAGAGACAGCCGATTCTAGCAATGTAAATTTGTTCCCCGACAAGTCCAAATACCGAAGCTGTCTCAAAGAACTGTGCCAACCATACGGGAGGTGGCTCAACTCGTTGTCGTTTAGACGCAGGTCTTCTATCTCTTGCGCCCCGAACGCGTTAGAATTGATCTCCGAGATCATGTTCCAACCCAGAGACAGTGTTCTTAAGTTTGACAATTTCGAAAACTCGCCCGCCTTTAAAAATTTGATCCTGTTGTAATTCATCGACAGCGAAATTACATTTACGGGTATCGCTGGAACGTCATCGAACAAATTACAATCCAACGTTAAAACGCGTAGAGAATTCAAACTCTCGATTCCCGCGACGTCGCGACTCGATAAAGAGTTCATGGACATGTCCAAGTTCTCAAGTCGCACCGTGTCTCTGAATGCATAGTTACGTATGGAAACAATTTTGTTATTGGCTACGGAGAGATAAACTAAACCCTTCAAACCTGTCAGGTCTAGGCCATCGTTATCACCTATCGTCCCGATCTCGTTACCCTCCAAATCTAACATAGATAAATTGGTAAATTTGTTCAATGCAACTCGTTCGAGCTCGTTCCCATTTAGGTAAAGATATAGTAATGTTTCTGATATGTGTTCACCGATGAAGTCGACGTCGTCGATTCTATTATTCGAAAGATCGAGGTACTTCAATGCTGGAAACGGATTTCGCAGTTCACTTTGTATGCGCGTAGAGCTGGTGTTTCCTAAATCCAATATTTGAAGACTGGGATACGCGTTGTTTACCAGTATCGTACTATTGTCCGAGTGATCGTTAACTTGATCGCTGAGAACGAGATAACTGATCGTCGAGTGCTGGCCGAAAGAGAACAAATCCGCCAAAGGTATCTTGTTTCCTTGGAGGATCAAGTGTTGTAAATTTGGAACCTTGTCGAAAGCTCCTTCTTCGATGTAAACAATACCGTAATTTTCTAGGTTTAACCGAGTTACAGAGTCGGAGACGATGTAATTCCTGCCAATCGTCATATCAAATGAGTGTATCGTTATGTTGTTATTGTAGTTATCGTCGATAGGCCAGGTCTGAACATTCGAGGATGCCAAGAAAACTATTGCCAGGGTGGTGATCAGTAGCTCCATTGTTCTAGTTATCTGAAAAATGGAAGTTGGTGAAGCGCGAATGTAAGTGTCTTCTTTACTGTGCCATTTTGGTTAAAAACGAAGTTAAGTGGGAAGTGTAAAATCAATTTTTGCAATGACTGGTAATTCGATGAAACTTTCAACAATAGTTGAATGTTAATATACTTGTAGTAAATGAAAGAAATAAATAACATTTTATTCAAATATCCTCGATTATTCCAAAAGAAATATACAAAATAATTATTTGTATATGTATCGAACGTAACAAATAAATAAAGAACGAGAATGCAATACTAAAAATGTAAATACCTTGTCATTCGTCAATTGTTTTTGGAAAATATACATTGAAGCTTCTAATTCTTAATTAAAAAATTTTGACGTTCCTTTAGGAAGTCTACAGAATCATTACAGGAACAATTTACAGAGCTTGTATTTGGAAATTTCAGAATTAATTTCACTTAATTTTCTCTCAAGTATTAGGTTGCCCCAAAAGTTTCGTCCGTGACTTGCACTCGGTTATTTTGTGTGGCAGTGTTTATATTAATAGACAATCTAATTTCTCAGATGTTAATGTTGTAACAGTAATGAAGCAAAATGAATCGTACACAATTCAGTAATGTAACATTAGACATAAAATATTGTGTATGTATTACTTATTAATAAAACGAAAGAAACTTTTCGGACAACCTAATATTAAGTCAAATTGGGCACCAATCACTTGTTGCTTTATTCCGCGAAACTTTTCTTATCTATACCTCTTTGTCTCCTAATTAGTTCACGTAATTTCTATTGTACTTGTTGAGCGTAGCAACCTAGCAATGTACACAAAAACCGGAATGCGTTACAGGGATACATGTATTTATATGTACTGGCGTGTGAACAGCAAAAGACACGTTTAGTTTAACCTCGTATGTCGAAGCAATAAACAGCCGAAAATATCTTTTGTTACCTCGTATGTCGAATAGTGAATACAACCCGCTATAAACTGAATAATCAAATTTATGATTAATAATTCAATTTTACAAACACTGTTTTATTTTATTTACCGAAAAACCTGTCAATCAGGATAACGTTGTTAACAGTATTCTTTTTGTCACCACCGTACAAAGATGATAGTTAATTAAATTACCTACCTACGACGTTGTTCCGTCACTGTGAGCCAACAATTACTTTCATCTGAATCGAGTGGAGCACTTCCTTATGTAGTCTTGATAACCAGGAAATGATAATAAGTAATATCTAAGCGGGCGGCGTAAAATTAGGGCATTTGGATCAACGAGGTTAAAAGATACTTCGATTTTTGATCAAGATAAAAAACCACATGCCCAAGTAGAATAAGGTCAAACACTTAAAAAGTTGACAGTTAGAGTTAAGAAAAATCAATACTAGTCTATTTAAATGTATTGGCTGATGGAAAAATAAATATTTAAAATGAAACGAGGGAAAGAAATCACAATTTCAAAATTAAACAGGTATAATACACGTAATGTAATACAATACAAAATAAATTATGCGTTTCGTTCTAAAATATTACTAAAAATGCATTTAATTGAAATCTTCGTATAAAAACGTGTTATACATATTTTACAATGCACAGTTAATCATGTTTAATATAGATATATTTTAATGTTTATAATATCCTTATATCCTGGGTTCATCCACTTATTGTTAACACTTAATGAAACAACTATTTCAGACTATCTATTCCGCATCTATCGTCACTTTACATTTACACAACATTAACTGCTAATATTTACAGAGTCAACAACTAAATTTATGTTTGTTCGAACCGTCTACTTACATCATTATTTATAATTATTTTATGTATAAGATCGATACTTCCTCTGCAAGAAAAGTAATTCGTAAAAGATTACGAACATAATACAAACTTAACAATCCTAACTTATGTTCAACGTACGCAAGAATACTTTTAACTCGTTGGCATGAAACACACTGTATATAAATTAACATTCGAAGTTCCGCACCAAACTCCGAAAGAATAATATAGCCTATTTTATAATAATGCTATGTATGAATGTTCGATGGGAAAATGTTTTGTTTTGAAAATTTCGTTCCTTCGCGGTTTGATTTTGTTCAAATACTAGTGTTCGAAGTATTTTTCGATAAGATGGCGACTCGTGGATCGCGTTTGTAGCTACTGTCGCTGGTGATCGATGGCGTAAGTCGTCGTTGTACCGTAGATAACTCCCTGAAAACCGTAAAACAAACGACGTACACGAAATTAATATTCCAGAGGATATTTATACTATTTTAAGGTGAACATTGTATAGTGGATTTTTTATAATAATTGTCAAGTACACTTATGCTCGGTTAATGGAGCAATGATACGCAACATTTGTTGTTTATCGAACTGCGTGTGTGTAGATAAATTGTAATGGCCATCAGGTTAAGACTTGGGTCACGTAAGAGATCAAGTTAGAAAGTAGTACCTAACAAGATGAAGAATAAATATTACTACTTCAACTGCAATCATAAATGATTGAATATAAAGTCACAGAGTTATAATGTATACCTAATTTAAACTATCCAGTATTAGAAACCTTTCTCAATCCTACCTCCACTAGATTATTATGTCTGTGCACTTTTACAACACAATATGACATTTAGAAGAAAAGTTTCTTTTTGCTTGTTTCTTTCTTTGCCACTTAATTATTACGTTGTCCTAGGTAATGTCAAATTGTTTTCAAAGTGAACCCTCTCTAAGTGGCGTGACAATACCCCCTCTAAGAGACGCGCGGTTATCCCCACCGTCTCTCAAAACTGCTGCGACGACGTTCTTTTTATAAAGATGTGACGCGAACAATGAACATGTTTCAACGGAGGAATTAATTCTACCAATTTACCTGTAATAGGATCTCTGACGCTTCCTGCGCGGCCATAGGTGAAACGCGCCATATATCAAAGGATTTACTAAACTGTTGCTCATGCCGAAGAAGAAGATTCCGCTTTGTAATTCCTCGCTAAGCTGAAAATATCACGAGGTCGTTAAATCATCGTGTCCGTTGCGCGTATCAGGCATTATAAACCGATGTGTACACAGTGTACAATGCCTAATCGATAATGTGGGAACCTTGTTGAGAACAAATATTGTTTCGGTACTTGTCGACTGTGACAAAATCAGGATGAGTGATTTACGTACTGTTAGAGTTTTAATTCAATTTATGTGTTATTTGTATGGGTGTGCAGGATCCCGGTCGGGACGGGAATTCCTCCCGGGATCGGGATGGAATCCCGAGAATTTCAGAATCCCGAGTACATCCGGGATTTCCGTGAATTTCCGGGATCTCGAAACCATTCGGGATTCGCGAGAATTTCGAGATCCCATAAATGTTCGGAATTTCCGGAATTTCGAAATCCCGTACATTCGGATCGCTGAAATTTTCAAGAATAACAACACTTTCGGAAATCCTAGATATTATTCTATATCCCGTACATTCTCGGGAATCCTGGATTTTTACGGAATATAGTGTATTCTCGGGAATCTCGAATCAACTCGGAATCCCGTATAAACTCGAGAATCCCGAATATTTTCGGGAATCCCGCACACCCCTAATTATTTGTTATTTTCAGCTTAGACCTAATCACATGTTCGGAAAACAGAGTGAACAAAATACTTTAGGGATACAATACGTCTCGTGTCACTCGTGCTCGGTTACCGCACTTCAGAGCAGTGCTGCGCGGTAATCGTCGTGAGAGCCATTAAACTTTAAAACGATCAAAGCCAACGCATGTCTGTTTTCTCTTAAGAAACTCTTCTTAAGTAAAGTACGAAAGTTTCGTTGAAGTTTGCATGCAAATATTGATTACAATTAAGGTTACCATTAAGAGCACAAAGGACATACGTGTTTGTCTGGATTAAGGAACATGAAGATTATCATCATCGCATAATACGGAGTCCACCAAACGATGAAGGCGGCCACGATGACGACGCTGATTCTCAAAGATTTCATTTTCGCTCGATGCATCAATTTTCGCCTGTTTAGGTCTCCATTCATGCTCCGCACGTTATTGTTGCTTAACTCTAGTTTGAACATCCTCTCGCTACCTAAAATGATTTTATTTTTAATGTTGGTCGAATGACTCACACTTCTTGAACGATAATATATTTTTAAAATAGTAAATATATATTATTTTATGTATACACGAAGCGACTAGTGAACGTGTGAGTGAAAATCTGTCGAAAGTAAATGAAAATAAAATATGTAACAAATATGTGAATGGCATTATATAAAATTGTTAATAACTCGAATTGCACTTTTTACAAATTTCATGTATCACTAACTATTTCCCAGACTTATTTTCAAAATCCTGAACGGGTTTGTACGAGTCTCATTTGAAGTTTCAAATATATCCATTAATAAATGTCGTAAAGGATAACGTTATCGTTATTCAAATGACATGAGAAAATGCAAAATTACTCGTTCCACGAAATAATTTCTGGTTTCCACAGTAGCAGGAATTATATAGAAATCGGAACTCCTGGTTCACTTAAAAAACGAGTATTTTAATAATCTGGGTTAATTATTGTATTTGACTATATACTACATGTACGTATCTCTAGAAAACTACTAATCTTATTACTCGGTCTTTAGGTTAAAAATTCAAGCCGCATGTAGTGAGTAGAAATAAAGGGCTGTATGATATTATTTTTAATTCTCTTCTCTTCTAGAAAACCTTTTATACTTACTATGCCAGCAGCTACAAAAGAAGCTGTTAAAAAATACAGACACACCACGCATGTTAAGAAAATACGTACAAGACTGAATGATTCAGTACGTAGAATGAGCAATCGTTCTAAAAAAATCATAGGTGAAGAGCCTACGTGCAGTGTCCGTAGATATCGTTGGAAAATATACTTACGGGAAATTGTGAGCACAGTAGAAACGTATGTGGCGATAAGGATGACTAAAGGTAACAGGAACATGAAAATTAAACTGAGGGACACGTACAGCTGCTCCTGCCAGGGTTCCGTGTAAAACCCATGGGTTACGCATTGGTTGAATTTTTCGATGAATGGACCCTCGGCCACGTGGAATATACACATCTGCAAACGGAAATAGATAGCTCTTTTTATTTGAATATTATACAACAGTCAATTTTCGTTTCAATATGGCGCTTCGTTTAAAATGGGAATTGTTAAATGTCTCGTGAGGGTACGAAGCTATTAAAAAGATGTTTTTTTTTTATATTAAAGTTATAGGAGGAAACTGTATGGAGTAAATAATTTGATTATAAAAAGGGAGATTTGGAGAACGTTAATGTTTTATTTATATAATAAAATAACATTTGTTTAGACCTATATTAACGTAAATCGTTGAATTGTAATACAGGATTTCATAGCGCACTGAACTTTGAATAATGGGAAATTTGACTGTAATTTATTAGAAACAAATGAATTTTAATGTAACATTTTACAATAGAACTGGTCTGTAAATTTCAGAAAGTTTTGATCGCGCTGTAATCGAGTACAAGTGGAAAAAAAACTCACTAATCGATTGGTCGTATCGTCACGAAGATATAATGAACACGATAACAATTCTGGTATTTTAATATGATTCTTTTCGTTCTGATATAATGACGTTGAAAGAAGAAAACAAATGATTAAAACATGAGGATGCACGATAAAAATAGTCTGGGTTAGGTCTGGGTTAGGTTACGGTACAATCATTCAATGATTATTTCCAATCTAATGGTATCGTAGCATTTGTTCGTTAATTTGTTTACGTCGTCGACCATCGAATATTTATGAACTGGAAGTTCTAGTTGTTCGGAGTAACTCCAATCGTTACTTTTTTTTTTTTTGTAGAACACAGTGTTTCGTAATTTCACGTGACTGAAAACTGAATCTTCGTGCTCTAGAATTCTAAGAAATCGAATTTTGCAATGACTTATAAATCACGTGGAAAACAACGGTTTCGCGAGAAAAGCAATCAACGCTGCTATGATTAATTGCAGCTATTTACAATTATAAGTAACACGTCGTGGAAGTTTTTATTGGTACGATCATATTCGATTAGTATCGCTGGATATTGTTGATATCAGTGCAGGATGGAAAAATTTTCTAATCGTGTCATCTACGAATGTATCGATCACACTTTACTTGATTCCAAAATAAACAGTTCCTGCAAAGTTACAATTTCCAATAGCAAACGAACCATAGGCTTACCGACATATTTGTATTACATTTTCTTGCCAACTCTTTTTCATACCTATTTGCATATGCAGTTTGAACGGTACCTATTGTAAAATTGCAATAGTATAGTGAATACTAGCATTTCATTTGATTTTGAAGTTTTTATATTTTTCCTACCACCCAGTAAAACAAATCAATTTTTAATAAAAGAGTATGCAATATGGGACGTTCAAATTTTAATACTTGAATACAATACACATATTTTAATGTGTACCAAGTGAAATTTGCGTTGAAAAACATTGGAAAATGACGTCGAATCAAATTTTCCTTTAAACAGCATCTATTTTTGTTGGCTGTCATTGAACTTCAGAACGTAATATGCTCGACTTTGTACAGAATATTGTTATACGTGTTACATAAATTGCAGCAGGGAATTTTTAATAGAAAATTATTTAAAAAACAAAAATTAGTAATTAGTTATCACGTCATTTAACCATATCCAACATCAAACCTTTCCAAAGGCTTCAATTATTTCAAAATCATGACGTTATTAATTTAGCAAAGACAGGTTATTAAAAGAACGCACTGTGCACGGATATCGAAAGGGTTCGATATATCATCGTTCATTTGTAAACATCGATGCTCGTTTGTCGATTGTTCTTCGGCAATGTGACGCAAAGAATTTTCGGTTCATCATTTCTAACAAAAATTTATCGTATATCCCATTAAAGAATTCAAGATCAACGAATTATGAATCGAACATCGTATCTCTATGAATAAGATTCCTGGAAGCACAAGGTTCGCAGATTATCTGCGTGCCAGTTTATTATATTCGTTGTTAAGGTAAGCGGTTCCTCGAGCATTTTCTTATTTTCTTTTTTCCTCCTCTTTCTTGTTTTGTAATAATACTTCTCACGAATAATTGCGTGAGAATGTCTCTTTAAACTTGAATTTCAGTACTTTTTTATTTCATTCTGAGAATCAATTATGGTCCTTGCGTGGCCTTGACTAAAATTTATTGCAATTCGTTTTTCTATTAAATTTCCTTTTGGAAGCACCAGTTATTCTAGAAATAATTATTGCATCATTCATCGGAACAATTGTTTAAATAAGTTAGAATTTTTTTTAATTTCTTGAGTATTATTTGAACCCAATACCTGATTCTTTTTTGGTACATATTTTTTTGAAAGTACAAAATCAGAGCGACGCTTCAATGTTGCATTGAACTATGGTCAGCTCAGAAAAGTAGGACGCATCGACGTCATTTCCAAGTCAAGTATACTGACGACATAACTCATTGATATTATCATTTGGAGCGTAAGTTTTACGCGTCACCGATTGAAATAAATTTCCTTCAAGTGCATTCAAAATCATTCAGTTTGAAAAGTAATTGTCTATACGTACTTATTTGCATAATGATTGTTCCTAGTTACTGTATAGATTCACTTTGAAATTATACTTGTTATTCTATACGTTTAAAAAATTCTACTGTCAAATTAAATTATTCTTTTTAATCCACTCCTTGTCACTTTACCTTTGTAAGTATGAATACTGTTAATTATTTAACGATTACGCTAAATGGCTAATAAACAGTTCGTGATTGGTCGACATGTGTTTACGTCAAGAATATCATTTAAAAAAAATGATAACCGTGACAAATTGTAGATTACACAGTTTCTGATTACATAAAAATAAAATTTAGATTTCGCACGAAGTTTCTCCTTTTTTTTTCTCTCTCTTTAACTTTAATTATTGTTTTTTAAAATAGTCAGAAAACTCCGCAACCATGGTGAGCGAATCGGCGAAAACTCTAGCGTTGGTGGTCTCCGCGATCAAAAATCTTCGCGAGGCGAGGGGCTCCTCGTCGCGGGAGATTTTGCGCTACATATCGTCCGTCTATGACATTCCAGTGCAAGTGGCGCGCCGCCAGGTTAGTTTACCTCTTCCAACCACAACGCTTTAACTATCGTTCTATTTAGAGAGAGTTTACAACTCTACTAAGACTGGGGTCACGCGTCCCAGTCTCTATTAGAATGGAAGAACTCTAAAGTTCGTCTTCACGCATACAATGGCTGATTATCATAAAGCGAGGACGATGTTTTCCACGACTGATGGAATTTTCCGCAAGACTCGATATTAAAACATCCAAATACTGGATGAATTGACAGTGTTTGGCCTAAATAGATAGAATTTTGAACTACCATCACTCTGTAGTCGACGAAGTTACTGTTTCGACAGCCTACAGTTCTTCGAAGTCCCTATATTTCAACCATCAACAACCACGAGGGTTGTCTGACAAATTCTAAATATAAATAGATAATTTTCAAAAAATTCCTACTTAAGAAAAAAAAATCTCTTTTATACTATAATTTTACCTCGAGGCAACTTTTCAGACCCACCTTTATTTGTTCTAACGTATTCAGAGTCTTCAGCATTAAACACCAATGAATTTAATACTTAATTCACTCTTTACTAAAAAGATTTTGCCATACGTCACTCGTGGAAAACATGTTTCACTAAATTCCACGCGTCAACGTCAACAACGAGCCCTGACAGTACCGTTTCTGGGGAACAGATGCTGACAGCCCTGAAGCGCGGCGTGTCGTACGGCATTTTGAAGAAGAACGGCGGTAATTACGTTCTGCCGACGACCAACGAGACCAAGTGCCAGGAAATCGCCGCGCAGGAGCTCAGCCTGCTGGATTACTGTCGCAACAACCGAAGACAGAGAAAAATGGGTTGCAAGTGCAAGAGGAAGCGACGCAGACGAAGACGACGGAAGAAGAGCTGCAAGTGTAAGAGGAGATCCAGTAGGAGAAGGTCCAGGAGAAGGTCCAGGAGAAGGTCCAGGAGAAGATCCAGGAGACGATCCAGCAGGAGGAGGAGGTGCGCGAGGAGGAAGTCCAGCAGAAGAAGGTCCAGCAGGAGAAGGTCCAGCAGGAGAAGGTCCAGTAGGAGAAGGTCCAGAAGGAGGAGAAGCAGGGGCTGCAAGAGGAGGCGGAGTAGCAGGCGCTATAAAAGGAGACGCAGGAGCAGGGGTTGCAAGAGAAGGCCGAGGAAAAGGAAGTGTCGATGCGGTGGTCTTGGAAATAGACGCGACAGCAATCGAATGAAGACGGTCGAGGCTCATCGACCGTACGAACAACTAATTGACAAGAAATCTTCCGAGCCGGAGCTCGACGCTAATGATTCTGGGGCTAGCCAGTGCAGCTCCCTGTCCACCGTCTCGTCGATTACAGATTAAACGTCTTCGTTCGCGCGATTCGTCGGTTCGTCTTATATCAGGAAGCTTATCGACGTATTTAGAACACGTGACCGTTCTCAAGGAATCCCCTTTCGTGTAAACCCCTCACCAGTCATTAGGTATACCCACCAATGAAGTTAAGAGGTAATTTGTTTAGGGCTGAGTGTCCGGGGTTGTTTCGAGGGTGACTTGTACGATACAGAATATTAATTTACAGAAATTAGGGGAGGGGGCAGTTCTTTGTAAGAATTTTGATAAGAATTTCTTTATACTTTCTTTTTATAGAACTTTCGTGTTAGGCTGCAAGGTTACTGATATACTGTTTTTCAACACTTATTTCGACGTAATTTTATTTTTATTAAAACTAATATTTTCTAATCGTTCTAAATATCTTCTTTGATTGTAACAACATCAGAAATGTTTTATACGAACTTGAATGATCTCAAAGATCAGATAGGCTCCAACAACCATTTATCTTTAACATCTAAATCGTTTAATTTAATAATTAAGATGATTTTTATTAATTCATATCGTCCGGTTCAGAAAAATAGTGGATATTAATCACTCTTTAATTTCTTTTACATTTTATTCTTCTCGACGGTTTCTCTTGTACAAATAAGTTTTCATCGATGATTAATTAAGCGTATCTTATAATAGGTTAATATATTTTCAGCCGTACAAGAGGCACTGCAGAACCATTTCGAGAAGCACAGGTTAAATTCTAGTCGCTTGTTTCAACGCAGAGGATCGAGAAGAACGAAGTATTTAGAAAATGTATTTCTTGGACATTTTTTATGAATATTCATTTTGCTAGTCTATTTACATTGGAATTTCGTATCGTTTTTACTTCACAGTCTCATTGTACAATGACCGAATCACGTCTATAATACTCTGTACGTGTCAGCACATTAAACAAATACAATTTTGTAATAGTAGTAATGAAAGTAAAAACAGACTTTCAATTAATTTTTAATTAATTTTTCCGTTTTCATCGTTTCATAGCTCAAGTACGCTGGCGTTTCTGTTAGTAGGATGTACTCTGATAGAGGCTGCGAATAGTTAACTATAATATTCCGAACCAAAGCACATTTCAACTAGTTGTGCCCTAATCCTCCTCAAAGTTAACTACACTTCTAACTACCAAAGACAACTTCAGGTACAAATCAGCCCAGATACAACAATGATTATGGAGAACTTTCTTGATGATTGTTTGGGGTAGTCGAAGAAGCTTCCTGCTTTATTAATGTCTCGATAGCAAGGAATTATTTTAGTTTGATTCTCGTGTGATTGTTTGGGGTAGTCGATAAAGCTTCCTCCCTCACCGATATATCGAAAGCATATATTTCAGCTATTAATCCTACAATTAAATAACCATTACTCTCGAAACGTGATCAATGCTAACGAAATCTGTCAAACTTTTCATCGAAATTCTACTCCAATTGAATGAAAAGTTCACTCATTGGATCCGCGCAGCCGATCGATGGCACTTTTGCGACTAAAAACCGATTTTAAGTGGCCGATATTCGGTTACCACCGATGAATCGTACCCTCGAGGAGTGCCCTCGAGCGAGCCGAATTTGTACAATATTAGAAATAATTTTCGTGTAACTGTCTCGTAAATAGCAAGTAATTAAGTCGCGTCGACAACTGCGGGAAACCTAATTCGATTATATCGAGACCTGTAGCAAAAAAAGGAATCAAGGCAACCAGTTCTCCGCTTTATTTGCTCTTTCCTTATTTAAGGCTTATTTAACGTTTATAGGCAGGTTGAGCGTTTCTTTCATTTTCCTCTACTTAGCAATAATTTAAAGCTTTCCTGCCAGTAAGGACCATTAATAATGTCTGAACGATATGATTTTAATTGGTCTTTGGAAAAATGTAAATCTGCGAACTGGTAATTAGACTGAGGATTTATGCATTTATGGTAAATAGAAATTAAATGTGAAAATATGGAATGTACATAAAATAATAAAATACTTGTTACATTGTTCAGAAGATAAGACATACTTGCATTTAAATCTCAATTCATCATTTGAATCTTTAAAAATATGAATTTGCATAAAAACTTTCACTCTAGTGATATTCGTACATAGTACGTTGCGAAATTTGTCTCGCGACCATTAAAAGAAATTCAGCTCGTACATGGTTAATACAATCTCGGAACTCTTGAGAGAAGTGGTCGAAAGTGGATTTCTGGTGAGATCCGATGAGAATCAGAAGAATCGACGCTACGAAGCGTGCAGTTTACTGCTTCAGCGGTATTTTATTGAGCCATTCTTGGATCGGACAGTGACTTGTGACGAGAAATGGGTAATGTATGGTAATGGACGACAATCCCCTGAATGGCTGGACCATCGAAGTCCATGTCGAAATCGAAGTTATACTCCACGACGGTAACGCTCTGGCTCGTGATCAATGGCTTATGTTATTGATTAGATCTCTTAAGAACGATGTGAATATGTCCTAGACAAAAATCATGGAAGGTATTTTAATAACATAAAGCGAATTAAAGTACATCGAAATAAAAATGACGAGCAAAAGCAGTCGATGTAAGAATTATAATGGCTTAAATATTCTTGAAGAAATTTGTGTCCTTTAAAAAAATAATATCAAAATCTGGATCTACGGTCTACCGTTGAGATTTCCTCCCAGAGTTTTCAATTATTATCAGTATTGAGTTTTTCTTTATTACTTAAGGAGCGATTTTTAATCATACTTTAAGCTTTGAACAACTGTAATCAATGTCTTTCTACCTAAGATGAGATACAAAAACCAGAATAATGAGATCAGAGTTGATCGAGACCGAACTAAGAAAGCAATTAGGGGATAACTAATTAAATTCGTTGCGGTGTGAATTACCGAGGGATGCAATTTGGTGAATTGGGTACTCTACCCGTAAGTAGAGGATTTAATCCTCGATGTGTCTCTTTTCCACGAGAATCAAGGGCTCGTATTCATTACCAGCGCGACAGTTTTTTCCTTTCTGTAAATTAACGACCGCAATTAATACGGTTATTCAGGAGCCCCGATTAATCCATAAGGGGATTAAAGAAGAGCCGTTCGACGACGTCAATTAGGATCTCAATTTTCTCTCGCAGTCTGTTGGCTGTTCAAACGCTTGTTTTGCCTACCATCGACACAATCCGATTTAAACGATTCTTTGAATTCGCATCGAAACGACTTCCACTTTAACTCCTCGCGGTCAAGTACGGAATAGAGGGAACAGACAGGGTTGTAAAATAAAGGGATAAATGGGAACAAAAATGGTAACTGAAGCAATTACGGAATATCAGTGTTTTTACGCGAAGAGGAAACCCATCGAGCTTCAAAATAATTATATCTGTGGGTAGGTGTAGCGTTAAACCTTTGCGCTCGGGTGGCGTCTCTAGGGCGACATATGTAATTTAAAAGCGATTTTGTGAACGTACAATTTCAAATTCACTTACATCAGAATACAACTAATTATTAATTGAAATAATAATACATCGAGTCATGAACGTTCGTAGATGTTTTTCTTCGAAGTAGAGCTTTTGGTTTCACAGAAATTTATTATTATAAAAATGGACTGGATTTAATTCTATCGAAAAATGCCTCGAGGGCAAAGGGTTAACACATCAACTAACAAAACAATAATAACATTTCAAAAGCACCCTTACCTGAGGAATGGACAGGATAAAGGACAGCACCCACGCCGGGATGACCAGCCTCAGGCACCTGTGAGTAGCGTTCAACCCCTTCATCGGATACCTCACGGCGATGAATCGATCCGTCCCGATCAGCACCAGCACGAACGTGCTCAGGTAGAGGCTGAACATCTGCATGAACTTGAACAGTTTGCACCCGACGTTTCCCCAGATCCACTCGACGGTGTAGCTCCACATAGCCTCGCCGCCTATACAAAATACTGTGACGAGCAAATCGGCCACGGCCAAATGGAGAATTAGTGCGTAGACGGTGGACCAGCTGTGCCGTCTTCGATGGTTCCTCGCGATCGAGTAGATGGTCGCCGCGTTCGCTGCCAAGCTGAGGACCGCCATTACGCCCAGGATGATGACTTTGAAGACGGTGCCGTTGGTCATCTGGGGAGCGTGCTCGAGGCACGGCACGCTGTTCGAGGAGCCATAACGAAGCAGCTGGTCGAGGTCGCTGAGGTTATGGTACACTCGCGTGTCGAAGGCTAGGTCAAGGCCGCGGGAGTAGCCCACGAAGTCCGTCAGGTTGTCGCAGGCTACTAACGCGGATACAGGGGAGTCTCCTGATGATTCAGGGAACGCTGTCATTTTGCTGCTCGGAGTCGAGGTGCCCGCTCATCGTCCTCCTTGCACTATGGTCTCTGTACAATGCATCACAGTTTGTTCAAATTGAGATGCGGTGTGAGTATAGCAAGGGTTTTTCTGTTCGTTAGCTGTGGATGTTTGGGGTAGAGAGAAGTCTACGTTACTACTATGAATTCAACGTTGATACTACTGTTTTAATAATAAAATTAATTTTCTATTATAATAAATGGTCCCAAAAGTAGTGTAAAAGGATTGTCAGTGCAGTTTTTCAGTTCAAACTCTACCACTCGACAAGATAGACTAGTAAGATACATTTTAGCATTATCCATCTACTTTTAGTAAAGTACTTATTTTTTAGTGTCCTTTCAGATGCTATAGAACATTTTATCACAATGCTTTATTTTATCTGAAAAATTTACATTTCGAGAAAATTGTCCTGATTTATGATTCATAAGTTACGACACAGCTCAATGCATAGAGCATAAAGTTACATGCCCGCTACGTTAGGTGCAGAAATTAATTCTGTGTCTTTATATTCAATCATTAATATCGCTACATTAAACGTAAACATTTATCCTCCATTTTCTTAAATTAAATAGCAACAACACACACAAATTGCGTCAACATTTATATATATATATATATATATATATATATATATATATATATATAATTATATATAATTTTATATAATTAATTTCTAAAAAGAACCATATGACTTTTAATGATCCCTAAATCACATATTCTGAAAAAGTATATATATACTTATTATATATATACTTATATATATATTTTTCAGAATATGTGATTTAAGGGTTATTAAAAGTCATATGGTTCTTTTTAGCAATTAATTCTGTGCCTCTACATTCAATCATTTATAACTCTACATTAAACATAAACATTTATCCTCTATTTTCTTAAATTAAATAGCAACAAAACATACAAATTGCTTCAATATTTATATATATATTTTTTTTCGGAATATGTGATTTAGGGATCATTCAAAGTAATATTTTTTTTTTTTTTATAAATAAGTGTACCTTAGAAATTACTTTCCCAGAATTCAATTCTACGCTAAATATTCGTGCACAAACCTTGTCTACTTACCTCTGGCCATCGATTCTCTCGATAACGAAGGATACCTCCCAAGTTTCCACGTTTCGCCAAGCGATAGCGCGCCGACACTGGTTTCGCGTGAAACCGCGATAAGTCACAATATCTCGTCGACCCCGCAGCTCGACTCGTTCCTCACAGTTGTCGAACACGCCACATGACTCTCATATTCGCCAAACGACCAGTTCTGTTTCGTACTTTCGTATAAACGTTCGACGTCACTTGCTGAACGCCGCACTTCGTCCTCGCATACGTCCGCGTCCAATTTCTTCTTCATCGCAGCTCTATTTTCGTCTTCGAAACCGAATTCGAGTCTCCTCACCGAGGCTCCTTACAGAGGGTGTCGCCGAACTGTCGTACAAATTTATTCAGTCGATGGAATGTAATGAGAAGTTGAAGAAGACATAGGGCGTGAACATTAGTTTTGTATTATTTTAATTTTATTTCAGTCGTTCTGGTTTTTATTTTGTAATCTTTCAATTTTTTATTTAATACGACTATGCACACGTGAGACAGTTTCATTTTATTTTAATTTTATTCCTACTTCAAGCATTTACGTTTTTATTTAGTACGACTATGCATATGTATGTCATTGTTCTTATAGCAGAATCATAAATGTGAGAGTTTCATTTTATTTGAATTTTAATTCTATTTCGAGCACTTACGTTTC